TCACATGTTTTCCTCAAAAGAGTTCTCTGATTTCAAATGATTTTCTCATTTTTCAGACTAGGGTTTCAAAACCCTTTTGCAAAAAACGATTTCTTTCTGATTTTTAGAAATTACTTTGTGATTTTTAGCATGTTTAAACATCACTTGAGTCTTTCCTTTTTCTTGATTCATTTTGTTAAGAAACCCTAATACTTCTGGGCTCGATTTGAAGTTTGACTCTGTTTGCGATGTGTTTGCGTGTCTCTCATGAACATTCTAGGTTTCATGTATGTTCTATAAGATCTTGTGCTTCCTGCTCTAATTTGTTCTCAGGGTTTCTCTGATTTTGTTCAACACGTGTTATTTATCGTTTAATAGGTCCGATTATTTGTTTTATTGATTGTTCACATAATTTATATTGATTTTGTGTAATCTCTTTAGGCCTGCGATATCTTCCCTGAATCTGTGATTTTGTGTATTTTCCTTGTAATTTTGTACTGATTTTTCGAATTGATTCCTTACTTTTGTGATACATTCCTTAGTTAGTGTTGATTCCCTGTGATTTTCAATCTCATTCATGATTCTTTGAACTAACTTTCAGAATTAAAATTGTACTCTACCTTATTTAAGTGCACAAATATGCTGTTAGTTATTTAACGTGTACTTTCCTTACTTGAAAATATTCTGTACTTAGTCCTTATTACATGCTACATGTTTTTACTACTCCTACTTTGGTAAAATCAGTCTTATAAACAATTATTTTCCCTATTTGATACAACTTGTACCCGTTTGAACTATGACTACCTAATTGAAGGGAGTCCATGTCTTTAATTGATTCTGATTTGTATTATTTCTATAATTGTGCTAAGTGAGTACTTATTACCTTTTTTGCCTGCCTGTTCTCAGACTATAAATGTTCTCCCTCTCTTTAGCATAAGACAAACAATTACACTGTTCTGAACTCTCTCTTACATGCATACATACTCTATTGTTTCTCTTGCAGTTGACTTGATACTCAGTCGGTTGCAAGCCAAAACTGAGTGATATTGTTCTACCGCTCTAATGCTCTATACACTACTACTCTACTTCCTTTCATTATACTGCTTTTTCACTCCTCAATCTGCACTTATTCTCTCATTTTTACTACTATGTTTTCAGTTTAAGTTATAGAACCCAAAACAATATGTCTCTATTTGTATTGCACTTCCTTTTGTTTCTCTTATGCTTCTACTTGTGGTTCTATTTTCTCCCTTGCAATTAGCATGCCAATTTTGCCATATGATTACCCCCTTCCCTGTAATTCAGCATGTCTATTGCTTTCTTACATTTTCTACTACTATTCTGCCCTACCCCCGAACCCCCAATACATTATAAGCATGTGTTTGTGACACCTAGTCACCATGTGATCTTGAACCCTTCCCCCTAAACCTAATGAGTAACTCTATTTAGCACCTCTTAATCTAATATTGTTAAGCTCCTGGCATGAACCTTTTGTGATAGACTATTGCTCTAACTATTTAAGTTCTGTAGTACTTCTATGGTGTTAACCTGTGTGCAAATATGCTTTCACATATGAACTACTTGTCCCCAATTTCTCATTTCCCTATCTATGTTTGAACTATGTATGTTGATTTAGTTTTGAGTTGCTGATTGTCCTGTTTCTTTTCTTCTTCAAACTGGTTTTCACCAAGGCAAACTCTTCTATTGCTTACCGAAACTTATTTTAAACTAATCATTGTCAAAACTGTTTCCAACTCAACTCTTTTAAATCTATGTCAACCACTCTCACATATACTCTTAGATGACTAGGTTATGCCCCTTTTGTGTGAGCCTTGCCTTGGGACCCTTGAGCTCCCTCTGAACTTGGACACATAAAAGCTGGCCTCTCCACATTGCACTTACTCTATCTTGGCTATGAAATCTGGGTGTGAGCACTGCCCGGGATCCCTTGAGTTCTTTAGGGAACTTTGACACACCCAGATATGAGAGACTATGGAACAATCATGGCACTTGAGGTGATTTATTACATAACTCAGGGTGGAAGTCCTAATCAGGTGCTAAAAGTCTGGGCCTGTTTCAGGCTCTCTATAGTGTAATTTTTACTTTTCTTATGTAACACATTTTAGTAGTGGTCTGTAATAATTTGTAAACAACTCTGGGGTTGGACAGTGAAAAGGGGTGGGTAATATGCATGCTGTAGTATAATCCAGGGTAGAAATCATGTTCCTAGGTTTACTTTCTCTATGCACAATAGCAGCCATGTTTAGGTACAACATTCCAAGCATGCCATGCATTAGATATCATGCTATTTAGGACTTATATGTACTATTTTCAACATCTCATCCATACTTAGAAATCCTGTCTATATGGTAGATAATAATAATAAAATAAGCTGCTATTATGTGATTCTGCCCACATAAACATGTTCTGAAATTTCATTTAGAAATCTTGCCTTAGGGTAAACGTGTTAACACAATTTGTTATTCATGCACTCACCATATTTCAACCATGCTTCGCACTTAGAAATCCTGCTTTAGGTAAACAACATAAAAAAATATTGTCACTCCTGCACTTGATATGCATTTAGAAATCCTGTTTGAGTTATTATGCATCATGCTGCATTAGAAATCATGTTATAGGATCGCACTTATTCAATCACACCTAGTCTAAATACAGAGGTATAAACGGCCTCCTATTCTAAACAAACTGGTAATTAGTCTCTGGATGTTTGCAACATTTAGAATTGCATGCTATTAGTTATAACAACCTGAAATTATTAACAAATATGAATAACTACTACATGTTATTTTACGCCTAGGCAAGCCTTATGTAATAAATTAAATAAAACCAGAACCGTCTTTGTGATTAGTGTTTAACTATCAACGTGTTAAAACCAGTAGGCAAGCCTGATTCAGACTTTTTTTCTAAGTCATGTAATAAATCTTGTTCTGCTATTATCACTTAGATATCTTGTTAGGATATGAATTTAGACCTTAATTGTGTATGAGTCATGTTGTTTATATGTACTATGTGTGGATGTATATCTAAGCCTTTCATTTGTCTTCCATGCTCCCCTTTATTGAAGTCTTACTTGTTTATTGTATGTTGCTTAGTATTTTACCTTTAAACTTGAGGGCCTGCCTAGAACCCCCTTTATATGATAGGATTCCTAAATTCCTTCAGGACTGATAGGAAGGGATGGGTAACAACATACAATAGGGGTCGAGACCAACCTTCGTTTTAACTACCTTCATGGGGCAGGAAAGGGTAGATATGGATATGATGACCGGTGCATTAATACCATGTGTAGCCCATCTTTGAGGAGTGTCATACCAGGTATTGCATTGATGTGATCCATATTATAAACAAACCTAGGACACCCCTCTTTCATTCACGAATATGCTTAGATTGTAACTCTTTTCAATATCTCACTTTTCACTGATTATTTTTCGAACACTCGTGTATTTAAACTTAAATCCCCTACTATTTGAGCCATACTTGTTTATTTGCTACTTGTATAAATTCACAAAAACTGTTTGGTCGGGAACCACACTAGTGGATCCTGAGGGGTGCCTAACACCTTCCCCTTAGGATAATTTCAAGTTGTTACCCTATCTCTGGTTACCAAACGTAGTTATAAATGAACCTCATAGGTGCCCTAACGCACCTTAAAATTGTTAGGTGGTGACTCTACAAAAAAATGCAAAACCCCTTTTCCAAAAGGAACGAGTTGTCCCAACCAAAATGTCATTAAACCCGATTCCGCGAGGAAAAAGGGGGCGCGACAGTATTTATACTGCTATAGTATAACTACCTGCTACTTACTGTACTAACTAACTCCTAGCTATAGTTATACAATTAACTTATCATCTTGGTTAATTAACTCTAGTCAACACTCTCCCTCAAGTTGATGGTTTATACACATTCTTCACTCCTAATTGATTCAGCAACTGATCATGTTGAAACTTCCCTAAACTCTTTGCAAGTATATCTGCTAGCTGGCCTTTAGTATGCACATATGATCACGCCCAACTATGCCTTATAAAAGACAAAGCGATCGTTGCAAATATAATCCGGTTTTCAAGTCCGGAGTCGAATTCTCAAGGAACTAAACTATCTATTACAACTCTTAGTGATGCTAGTACAATCTCAAACAATTTCTGGATGCAAGATTCTTATCAATAAATATTGGGATTTGTTTAACTAAAGTAAAATGATATTAAAACTAACAATCTAAATTCAAGATAATTCAATGGTAAAAAGATCTAAGGTATTAATTTCTCCAGTTGCTAGTTTAATTCTTAACTCTTTTGCTATAATCTCGCGTGTAATACTCTATGAGGATTATGAGCTATGGGTTATCGCAATTATCTCTCGATTAACTACGATAATTTACTAGAGCATTCTCTCAAACTACTCTAGATGATAATTTATGCAGCTCTGAATTATCCCACCGAAGTTTCGTTATCTCTAACCCCACTTTTAAATTCATGTAATGAATCTCTTCAATTACCCAAAAGTGGTGTTGCTCAACAACAATCTAACCTAGTATTCTTTCTCAAGCAACACAAGGCCATTAGACACGATTAATCAAGGGCCCATTCAATTAATCACCATACAAAATATAGTTGAACAATTGTATAATAAACCCAGCTCTATTATAACAAAACTGAGTCAAAACTTCATCTAACAATTGGTTCCATCAACCTTAGATTAAATGTTTAGCTACTCATAGTAAAACAAGATAAAACCATAAAATCATTCATAATTCACAAATAATGATAACAAGAAGAAGATTGAAAAACTCTAATAGTATCTTGATCTTCTCACACTTGTTCTTGCCTCCAGTTGAGTCTAAAAACAAGCTTAACCTTAACTTGGGAGAGTTTATTGAGTTTATATAGGGTTAGGATAAGTATCCCATGATTTACACTTTAGCCCTTAAATTTCTTGGCTTCCTCCAGATAGGCCGCGGTCGTGGCACGATCGCGGCATGACCGCGGTGATTTACAAGTATTCTGTTATTTGCCTTCTTTCACCGCGGCCCAACCGCAGTCGTAGTGGGCTGTTGCCCAGTTTTTCTTCGCCTTTTCTTGCTCGTTTTCATCCGGGCTCTTCTCAATTGGCCTTGTATCTACATAATTGACTCCAAAACACTCATATCCTCCTTTTAGCTCGGAGTAGTTCCTGCAAAGCATAAAAATCTTAATTAGAGCATTTTATTATCATTTAGCACTTACAACATCAATAAAGTATGGTTCACTTCGAGCATAAATAGCATCTACATCATATAATATAGGCTACTACCAACATACTGTATCTTCAGCAATCCTTCACATATTTTTTCTCTAACAAAATAACAATCAATGTCAATATGTTTAGTTCTTTCATAGAAGATAGGGTTGGCTGCTATTTGTATAACAACCTTGCTGTCACATATCAAACTTATAAGCTATTGAATCTTCACTCCAAGTTCCTTGAATAGCCCTATCACCCAGGTGACCTCTGCTGCACAAAAAGTCATACTCCTGAACTCTACTTCAGTTGAATCTTTGGACACGGTCATTTGCTTCTTTTATTTCCAGGACACCAGTGCATTTCCATATTTAACCAAGTATCCAGTTACTGGTCTCCTCGACTTTATACAAGATCCCCAATCAGAGTCATAATAGGCAATCAGCTTTTCTGCACTTTTTGCAGGCATAAATAGCCCCAGGCCTGGTGCTTGTTTGATGTATCTGACTACTCTGAGAGCAGCTTCAATGTGTGACACCTTGGAATAATATATATACTGACTTAGAACCTGCACTGCAAAAGCAATGTCTGGCCTGGTCATGGTGAGATATAACAAACTTCCAACAAGTCTCTGATAATAGCTAGGATCTAGCTCCTAACTACCTTCTTGATTTGTACTATGAATGCACTTGTCATACTATATAGATGTGAGCTTTTGATTAAACTCCAATGGTGTACCAGAAGTCTTTGCTACACCTAAACCTGTTTCAGAAATTAACTCAAGTGCATACTTTCTTTGACACATAAGAAATCCTTCTTTTGATCTGGCAAACTCAATTCCAAGGAAAAATTTTAACTCCCCTAAGTCCTTCATCTTGAACTTCTTTTGCAACTCTGTTCTGGTGTCACACAATGACTTATCATTGTTCCCTGTGATCAGCAAGTCATCCACATACACAAGAATAATAATTGTGTCACTATTGGCTTCTTTGATGAACAATGAATAGTCATAATGACTATGCTTGAACCTTATCTGCAGAAGCACCTCTGTCACCTTCATATTCCACTGTCTTGGTGCTTTTTTAAGCCCATATAATGACTTGTGAAGTTTGCAAAGCTTCTTAGTCTCCCCTTGGCTTGCAAACCCTTGTGGAATGTGCATATACACTTCTTCAACCAACACACCATTTAGAAATGCATTATGAACATCCATATGATAAATCATCCAATACTGAGATGCAGCAAGAGCTAGAATTGATCTAATTGTGACCATTTTAGCCATAGGAGAGAAGGTTTCACTATAGTCTAAACCTTCTTTTTGACTGTAGCCTTGGCAATCAGTCTAGCCTTGTATCTTTCAATCTCTCCTGAGGCCTTATACTTGATTTTGAATATCCATCTTCAACCAATAGGAGTTTTGCCAAGAGGTAAATCAACTATGCTCCAGGTTTTGTTTTCCTCTAATGCCGCAATCTCTAACCTCAAAGCCTCTACCCATTGAGGATCTGTGACTGCCTCAGTAAAGGATTGAGGTTTAGAGCCATCTGAATAGGCTGCCAATACTCTACTATATGAGGGAGTGATGTAAGAATAGCTGACATAAGCAGAGATAGGATAGGGACACTAAGCAGCATGTGATTGCACCACATAGTCTTGCATCTAAATGGCAGGTTTGCTGGTCCTGGAGGATTTTATGACCTGAATAGGAACAACAACAGGTGAGGTAGTCACTGTACTAGGTACTGCAGTATCAGGATCAGCCTCAAGAGGAGTATCAGGTGGAGGATCATTTGATGCTGCAATATCTGTGATATTACCTTCAGGATTTGGAGAGTAGTGGCCATAGGAGAAGACTCAACCTCAGATGTAGTACTAGATTCAGGTGAAGGAGGACTAACTTCAAGTGAGGAATCTGCAGCATAGAGCCTAGGATCTGTACTAGTTGAAGACGGTAGATCCACGATAGAAAAAGTAGTGGTACCTCAAGATGATACGTGCTTGAAAGGAAAAATGCCTTCTTGAAAAATAACGTTTCGGTTAACAAAGAAAGACTTAACATTCATGTCATACAAGACATAGCCCTTTTGAGAGGAGGAGTAACCAAGGAATACATCAGAAATAACTCTTGGTGAGAACTTGTCAACAATGTCGGGGCATGCTGCATAGCATAGACAACCAAAAACCCTTTAAGTGTTGCAGAGAAGGAGGATGTAAGTAGAGAAACTCAAATGGTGATTTGTACCCAAGTGTTCTAGAGGGTAGTCTGTTGATGAGGTAGACTGTTGTGGTAACACACTCACCCCAAAATTTGAGAGGTATAGCTGCTTGAAATCTAAGAGACCTGACCATGTCTAGAATTGTTCTATGTTTTCTCTCAACAATTCTATTTTGTTGAGGTGTGTAGACACATGAATTCTGATGAAATATACCAAGATTGGAAAGCAATTGTTTAAACTCATTACTAAAGAACTCACTGCCATTATCAGTCCTTAAGACTTTTATGGAAGCTGAAAACATATTGTTATTTGAGTTAGAAAGTCTCTTAGTACAATTATAAATTCTGACTTGAAGTTGAGCAAAAAGATCCAAGTGTATCTGTGATGAGTGGTGATTTTGCCACTCAATCTAGTCTCTTTTCCTTATCTTTTATGTCCTTTAACTATAATATGAGGTCGTTTATGGTGTGTATTGTTATATTTTTAGGTAAATGACGCTACAAAGTGATTTGAATTGAATTGAAGTAGAATTGAGCAAAAGAGGGTGAAAACAATGCAAAATTCTCCAATGATTCCGCATCTGCGGAAGAGTGGTCGCAGAAGCGACCTCGCATCTGCGGAAGTAAACACGCATCTGTGGATCTGGGCATTTTTTCAGGAATTGCATGTGCGAGTGGTTTTCCACTTCTGCGGTAGCGCATCTATGCTTTTGGAGTCCGCATCTGTGGTGTCAAGCATATCTCAATACCCTGCTTCTACGTGAATAGTTTCGCATCTGCGAAGCTGTCTTAGATTGCAAGGAACCGCATCTGCGGTTGGATTACCGTTTCTGCGGTGGCGTATCTGCGCCTGGTGAACCGCATCTACGGTAATAGAGTTTCAGCTGGCAAATCGCTTTTGCGATGGGATCTCCGCATCTGCGGAGCCGCACTTGCGATGATTCTTCCGCAGGTACAGAAAACGAGCATCAGATCTAGGCAAATTAGGGATTTCAAATTTTCTCAACCCCAAACCATTTTTATACTCGTCCAAGCAGATATTTTGGACATCTTTGGCTTATTTTCAGTTCTTAGGGCTAGAGAGAACAATTTTTGGAAGCTAGGGCTTTGCACACACACTTTGGTCTTGAAGATTTAAAGCTTTTGGTTAAGATTTTCTTACCCATTTATGTTTATTTCTTCATTTCCTTCCTTTGTATTGTATATCTAAGTGTGTAGTATTTATTTCCAACACTTGAATCTTATTTATGGAAATATTCATGTTTAAAGTGTGGATCAAATACCTTGTTGTGCTTATGTATTGATTGATTTTTATCCTTTTATGAGGTGAGTTATTGTTTCTTTAATTATTCTTGTTCTTTAATGTTTCCAAAGGGATTAGCTAACCCTAGGACTCGCCCATTAACTCCGAATTAATTTGGAAAAGATAATTTGGGGTTGGTAAAGATTAATTAACAAGAACTTGAGACTTTAACCCTCATTTTATAGATTCTACCTAGGAATAGGATTGAACTACTTGTAGCCATTTCAGGTGTGCTTAATCGCTTAATTGGGTTAGGAATAATTCAATTAGGAAGTCTTGTTAGTCTTTGGAAGAAGCTAATATAGAATTATTATCTGTGGCTAATTAACATAAACTCGCTCATATTTGTAAAATCGTGAAATACATTGGACCGTTACTTGAGTGTAATTCCTGATGTATCCATACTTGTAGCCATCGATCATTTTACTTGCTTTCTAGGTTAGTTTACATTTAGGTATAAAACATTTCCAAAACCAAATTCTTAGTGTTTGGTATTGCGCGATAAGTGATAATTCTCTTACATTCCTAATCGCCTACATATTGTTCTCTGTGCGATTTGACCCCGACTCATAGTTGGGTAAATCATAGTGCATGCGACTGTGTCCATTTACCTTTTAGTAGTGGATTTGGACATCACCAATCTGGTATAGTCATCAACTACTGTAATAGAGTACCTCTTACCACTATGTGAGGGAACTCTATATGGCCCCTAGATATCACAATGCACTAAGTCAAATGTAGTATTAGACACTGAGATACTTAAAGGAAAAGGTAGTTTGGATTGTTTAGAAACTAGAGATACAGGACAGTATTGAGTCCTTTCTTTAGGGTACTAAGAGCATCTAACTTCCTTATTACATCAATAGGATCATGTCCTAGTCTCTTATGCCATACTTCTTCAGAATCAGTTAAGCTAGTTGTGTGAGCATACTTATTGATTGATGTTGTTGTAGAATCCTGTGATAGTCCTCCTTGAAGTATGTACAAGCCATGCTCCTCCTTACCAATCCCCTTCACCTGACCACTGTAGAGATCCTGAAAAATACAAAAGTCAGGGAAGAGTGCAATCATGCATTGAAGTTCTTTGGTGAGTTGAGATACTGAGAGCAGGTTGCATTTAAAATCAGGAATGTACAACACATTGGAAATGGTGTTATTTCTATGTACTGAGGAGGTTCCTTTATGTGATACAGAAACTACATTTCCAGTAGGTAATTGAACTTTGCACTTCTCTGAGCTGGGAATGGACTGACAAGATGTAAGAGCATCAAGTTGAGAAGTCATATGATTTGAGGCTCCTGTGTCTATAATCCAATTTTTCTTGAGAAAATTGGACATTAGAGTAATTAGAGTACTTGTAGCAGCTAACTTGCTAAATGATTCTGGACCCTCTTCATTCCATTTGGCTAGCATTTGAAGTATTTTTTGATACTACTCTTTGGTGATGAAAGGAGTAGTAGGACCATTGTTAGGAGTGGTCTGGGCAAACTGAGGCATGTAGGCATGCTGAACCTGCTGTATTCCTGATTGAGTTCCATAAGTACCTTGTGGATTGCCATTTTCAGTAGCATTTGGAAACACTAAAACACTCATATTATTTGCATACACTCCAGAGTTTTGCCATTTCTTCTTTCCCTTGAAGTCTGATGGATAGCCATGAAGTTTGTAGCAATTCTCCTTTGTGTGCCCCTTGTAATGACAGTAGTCACACTACACTTGATTTTTTCTGAACTTGAAATTTCCGCCTGCACTTGTTGAGTTTTTATTACTATAGAACACAGCTCCTTCTATGCCTTCAGTAGTGTGATTATTCTGAGTGAAATTAGCCAGACTCTTTTGGCTTTCTTGATCAATCAATAGTGAGTAAGCTTTCTTAATGCTAGGAATTGGATACATCATCATAATCTAACTCCTTGACTGTGAGTAAGACTTATTCGATCCCATCAGAAATTGGAGTAGCCTGTTATACTCAAAATGTTGGGCATATTTCTTTGATTCAAGACATGGACAACCAGGACAAGGCATTACTGCATTAAACTTATCCGAAAGGTCTCTCAGCTTGGAGAAGTAGTCAGTAACAGAT